TTTGCACATCCGCATCCAAATACACATCCAGGTCGCCCTCGATTTTATTTTTTTAAAAGACCTACCGTAAATTAGCGTACTAAACTCTAACGTGTTAAAGGTTAATAATGTATTTCCTCAGAAAATGAATGCCTTAAAATCCTTTATCTTTTATCGGTCGTCTATGTCCGATCTGCACCGGAAATAGGATCCTACGCTACTTCCTGGAGCTAACTTTTTCGGCTTTGGATTTAAACCTAAATCTAGTCTTTTTGAGTTTTATTTGTTGATTTCATGTTAACATTATGCTATATTGTGCAAAACCTAAATAAAAACAGATAAAATGCAGATAAACATGGTTTAACTTTAATCAGATTTAACAAAGAAAATGAATAAAGCATCGAAATTTTCTCAGAAAAGCCATTTATTAAAGGTGTGTATTAGCATTCCTTAGTGCAGGGGTCTGCAACCTTTCATATCCAAAGAAACAACCTTTTTTATTTTTATTATCTGATATAGGAAATTAGTTGCCATCTTAAACAATCAATAATTTATGTATTTTTAGCTTTTAAAATAATATTAAAACACATAATTTCCAAAATAATTTAAAGAAAATTTGCTCTTAAGACGCATTTTTGATTATTAGGCCCGAGCAGCAAAGCGCAGTGAAGGCCTATTGTATTTCGAAAGTTTCTTTTTATTATTATTCTTTTGCCCTTTCAAACGCATTTTACGGGGACTTTGCATATTCAATTTTAATTTTATTCTTTTCCCTCTAGTAAAAAGTATTAAAGCTTTTAATACTTCTATTTATTATGTTACATTATTTAGCTCTTTATAAACATTTTAGCCATTATTAAGGGTCACTGGAGAGGGTCCATAGAGCCACAGGTGGCTCTGGAGCTGCAGGTTGCAGAGTCCTGCTTTAGTGAATTAAGGATAGAAATAAATAGTTTTAGTACAATAATCCGATTATTTATGGACTCCTGTACGTATGTCTCTTCCCGCAAACGCAGGACTGGTCCTGCTTCCGGGACGGATCAAGTAGGGACATGAGCTTTATGCACAACTCCACTACTTCCTGAATTCAAGGTGGCTCCTTTGTATCCTCCCTCTCTTTACTGGATGAGTTTAATAATCCAGGTGTGTCTGACTTTAGTAACCATGACAACAGTGGTCAGATACACTTGGATTAAACAGCTCATCCAGTAAAATAGGAAACACAGGAGCTGCTTTAAGTTCAGGAAGTAATGGAGCTGTGCATAGGGCTGAGCATATATAATCGCATTTGCAATATAATCCCAATTTACCAAATTGCAATTTTCTAATCACAGAGTCTCAATTTTTTTAATCACACTGTGTTTAACAACACTAAGACACTAAATTTCCCCGACATTTAAGTGGCTATAAAATGCTCCAAAAGAGAAAGTGTGAAAAAAGAGAGATTGCAGCTAGCGCGCAGATCCATGCATGCAAGTAGAAATAAGCACTTTTTCACTCAAAGATTACATTAAAGTCCTGTAACAAAGGACTCTGGGCAGCAAGCTTTCAAAAACTGAAAGCCTTGAGTGAAACATCTACAAGGTTGGGTTGAGTGCAAAGGAAAAAATAAAATTTCAACTGCAGTTTTTTTTTCAAAATAATCGCAATTTTGATTTTTTTGTCAAATCGTTCCAACTTGTGCATAGAAAAAAAACATAATTCCTGAGCTGGACTGCCTCTAGCTCTTGTATGGATTTGTAAAACATAAAATGAGTCCAGATCCTGCAGAAAACATCCCATCATCCACAGTGCTGTCCTCACTGCCCATGCTAAGTCCTTCCTCCTCTGTGCTGTGCAGCTCCAGGGCCACACAGGATGCATCCCACTGTGGTTCTGTGGAAAAAAAAGAGGTCAGAAGAGATGCGAATGCACAGGAACCCCACGCTGCACCGCCTGCTCCTCTAGGCAGAGAAAAGCATGTTTAGTCCTCCTGGACCTGCTGAAGTCCAGACTGACATCACTTTAACCAAATAATGATATTAGTGCTCTTTACTGAGCTAAAACCGGATAAGTTAAGAGCGCTTTAATCTCATACAGTAAGGACAATGAACTCATTCATCTTTGTATGAAAATACAAATACTAGAGGCATTTTCCCTGGAGTGAGAAATTTTGTGTCTTACTGTTGTTAAACACAGTGTGATAAAAAAAAAATTGTGCGATTGGGAAATTTCATTTGCAGGACATGGTCCTCCTGGATGAGCTTGAAGCAACGATATTCGCTTGAATATTGTCGTTGACTCTTCCGAAATCTCTCACACCGAGCATGCATGCAGTGACAGCGGAGAGGAAAACTCTATTAACTGGAAGAGACCTTCACCAGAACCAGGCTCATTGTGAGAGGATAGGGGTTACAGCTCACAGACTTCCACTAGCCCTGCAAAAAAATTTTTTGAACATATTGTTAATTTTTTTTTAATTAGAAATCATTTTACAGGTAAGGACAGAAGACCTAAATATTTGTTAGTGATGCTAAGGATGTTCCGTTTCTACTGGCTTTTATCATAAATGTTTTTTGGGGCACAAATCATAAGCTGCCAGGCAGGCGTGTAGGAAATCTAGTCGACTTTCCCTGGTGGGAGAAAGTGAGACTGTCCACAGATCCTGCAGGAAGGGCGGCTAACATCACAATCTGGATCCAATCTAAAAGCAATTTTTAATATGTTTAATCCTATTTTCCCCCTAGAACCAAATCAAAAATTTAAAATAAATGCCCTTTGTGCAGCAGAGGATTTCTGATTCGTTCTTATGATGCTTAACGTGGCCAGCAGTCTGTCCATATCCATCATTCCAGGGATCTTTAGCATGACACAGATCAAATCTGACATCCACATTTTCCCTCTGCTGGTTTCAGGCTTGTAGAGCAAACATGACAAATAAGGTCTCCTCAGGTGCTCTTTTTACACCAGCCTAAGTTAAATTACACTCGGATTTAAGTTTGACGTCCACCCAACAAAAGAAAGACCCTCTAGAGAAATTTTCCATTGGAACAAGGGAAAGCCAAAATCAAGATAAGAAACAGTGGCACATATGCAGGGGATTAAAAAGTGGTGTGAGCAGTATAAACGACTCAGCATTGCATCACCTGTTGCACGGCTTGGGCCCTTCACCATGGCAACAGAATGCCAGTTGGGTCTTCAATGTGGGTGTAGAAAGAAGCCTGCAGGAAGAACAAATGTGTGTTTAGTTTATTAATGCTGCGAGGCAAGGACAGGCTCAGGATTACAGCGAGTGTTACATCACTGAGGAGGAATCCTTCTCCCCCTGTGGCTCGCTAACTAAGCAGTGTTCACTCTTTCATCTACGTCTTACTTGATTGTTTGAATGCAGAGAGGGAATAACTGCTTTGTTTAACCCAGACCGCCCTTCTTTGTAGCAAAGAGGTCTTATTATGGATGTAGATCTTTGTTTATCCTTTAACCCTTTATAGAGCACCAGAAGGACAAGACCTTATTAACTTAGTAACATTATAAACATGTATATTTGATGGCAAAACTTAGGCTGCTCAGTGTTGCAGTGGGTAGCATTGCTGCCCTGCAGCAAGAAGGTTCACGGTTCAATTCCCAGGGTCTTTCTGCATGGAGTTTGCATGTTTTTCCCTGAGCATGTGTGGGTTCTCTCCAGGTTCTACGGCTTCCTCCCACAGTCCAAAAACAGGACTGTTAGGTTAATTGGCTTCTACAAATGCTCCTTAGGTGTGAGTGGGAATTGTTGTTTGTCCTGTTTGTCTCTGTGTTGCCCTGCGATCGAGTGGAGACGTGTCCAGGCTGGACCCCGCGTCTCACCCGTAGACAGCTGGAGATAAGGACCAGCACCCCTCGCCAGCCCAGCTTGGGATAAGAGTGACGGAAAATGAATGGATGGATAATGGCAAAAATGTATGTCAATGTAATAACAAAAAATGGACTTCGCTGATTCAATTTATTTCAGTTTTATCTATAGCGCCAATTCACAACATGTCATCTCAAGGCACTTTACAGTTCACCAGATCATCCAGTCAAATTTATTCAAAGTTTTCTATCTAAGGAAAACCAGCTGATTGCATCAACTCATTGACTCTTCAGCAATCCCTCACATTAAGCATGCTTGTAGTGACAATGGAGAGGAAAAACTCCCTTTAACAGAAAGAAACCTCCAACAGAACCAGGCTCAGTGTGAGCGGCCATCTGCTGAGGCCCACTGGGGTTCAAGGAGACAGAAGCAGACATAGAAAAAGAAGCATGGATACAAAAGGCAGCTGTCAACCAGCTCCACTGGCGGCCCCGTCCAGGAAACACACAGCCAGGTAGACGAGCTCCGAGCCAGCTCCCATGTCAGAGGATGAAGAGAGCACATCCAGTTAGTCACAGTCAGAGAAACAGGACTACACTGAAAAACAAGCTGATCTCCAACATCTAGAAACAAAGGTGTTGACGGCAGCAACACAGCTGATATTTCTCTCCAGGATGGAGTCACAGCCAAACAGGAACAGACCAGATGAAGCTACTATGAGAAAAAGCAGAGAGAGCAGAACGTTAGAGATTGAACTAACAGATTCTGCAGAGTTGGAGAATAGAGAGAGAATGAAGCAGAATGATGAAAAGGGGTCCCTATGTCCTCCAGCAGTCTAAGCCTATAGCAGCATAACTATAGAGATAGCTCAGGATAACCTGAGCCACTCTAACTAGAAGCTTTATCAAAAAGGAAAGTTTTAAGTCTAGCCTTAAAAGTAGACAGGGTGTCTGCCTCACGGACTAAAACTGGTAGTTGGTTCCACAGGAGAGGAGCCTGATAACTAAAAGATCTGCCTCCCATTCTACTTTTAGAAATTCTAGGAACCACTAGCTGATGATAGGGGGACTCCATTTGTAAGGGTTATGCAAGTGATCAAAAATGCTAACTTGCCCTATAAAGGGTTAAATCAGCTAGCCAAATGTCCACCCACAAGACATCATTGGTGCCCATTGATTATGCTTGTCTTTTTCTGCCTCTTTCATCACAGGGACAACTGAGAGAGTTTGTCTGATACAGGGTACTGTTGAAGCCCTCAATAGTGTGCACAACTTCATCGGGGAGAAAGTCCGTGAGATGCCCCAGAGTGCCCAAAAACCAGAACCTGTCAGCATACTGCAACCGCAGACCACGGTGAACCCAGACCGCGTGAAACAGGTACGGTTCTGTTCAACCATTGAACCTGTCTTACCCCAGTTAGCAACCGGATCTGAAAGTAAAGAGTAAAGCCTCTTTCCCACTAGAAAATAGCGCATCAATGAGTGTTTCTCAAACGTGGGTCAACCCGCTAACAATCGGCATTTCGCTCCCTTCCCACTGGCATAAAAAGCTGGTCTAACCCCTCGCTGGAAGCTGCGTGGCCTCTCTCCCTCCGCCGTCGCGTGTCTGGTGACATCATCACACTGGGTTAGCGTTGATGATGTCACCAGTGCGATAGAAATCAGGAAAGTGATGAAAGGAAGCCAGGGTTTAGTCAGTGTGTTTTATTGTTTCTCTCTATTATCTGTCTGAATTCCTCTCACCAGAGCTGCTCCATGTTTAGAGAAATGGAAACAGAGTTGATTCTCCTTGTTAGATCAGAAGCGACTGGGCGGTGTGTTGACCTCCGTACGATGTGTTCAATGGCGTTATGTAATTTAGAGGGTCGACCCAGCTCTGGTGTTCCCAAGGCATGCCGATCAGAGCCGAGGTGATTTTAAAGCGGGTCGCTTGCCGAGTCGTTTGACCCTGGTAGACACACATCAGTGGGCTGTTCTCACTGACACTAAAATAACCATTCTCCCGGGTTTAAACAGGTTTTTCAGCCAGTGGGAAAAGGGTATAATTGACCCATACTGTTGTCGCTGGTAGATAGACTGTAGTCCCTGTAAACATGGCGTAGCTGTTATTGTTGCAGCCATCTCAGAGAGCTAAGCAGTAGTTTGATTCACCAATGATGCATCCGGTTATGAGATCATTCAATATTTAAAATGTTTCTAGCAAGCAGTATGAAGGTGTGGAGCAGTTCCCTTCTCAAACGTCTCTGACTGTGACCTACAGTGTGGCAGGGTGAGGAAAATTTGAGTGTATGTGGTTATTTTTACCTGCAGTCATCCATAGTTGGATAGAACCATGTGGTAGTGTGGCAGCTGCAGCCTAAACCCCCGGGATTAACAAACTGCTGAGTAAAGCGAGGGCCGCTGTAGTACTCTGACTCAGTCAGAGATCTGTTTACTGTTAATGCTGTTCAGTGCTCCTCATGTTGCCTGTTTTTGCTACCACCATCTTTCTATTTCTCTGCAGGCCAAATTAATTGTACCCAACAGTACAGCTGGACTGATCATTGGTAAGGGTGGCGCCACAGTGAAAGCAGTGATGGAGCAGTCGGGAGCTTGGGTGCAGCTCTCCCAGAAGCCGGAAGGCATCAACCTGCAGGAACGAGTGGTGACCATCAGCGGGGAACCTGAACAGAACCGTAAGGCTGTGGAAATCATTGTGCAGAAAATCCAGGAGGACCCTCAGAGCAGCAGCTGCCTGAACATCAGCTACTCCAATGTCTCCGGCCCAGTGGCCAACTCCAACCCCACCGGCTCCCCTTACGCCAACACAGCCGAGGTGCTGCCCAATGCGGCCGCGGCAGCAGCCACTGCCTCCAGCCTTCTGGGCCAGGCCGGATTGACAGGAATGGGTGCCTTCCCTGCCGCCATGTCCAGTTTCTCTGGCAACGATCTGCTGGCCATCACCTCAGCCCTGAATACCCTGGCCAGCTATGGCTACAATACTAACACCCTGGGCCTGGGTCTCAACCCCGCAGCTGCCTCTGGAGTCCTCGCCGCAGTTGCAGCTAGCGCTAACCCCGCTGCTGCTGCTGCAGCTAACCTGTTGGCCTCCTATGCTAATGATGCCTCCAGCAGTGCTGGCCACCCCGCTACTGGCCTTGGTGGGTTCTCCCTGGGCTCTCTAGCAGCTGCTACCGGAGCTTCCAATGGTTACCTAAATGCTTCATCCCCATTAATGGCTTCCTCCCTGTTGGCAACAGAAAAGTTGGCAGACGGAGCCAAGGACGTGGTTGAAATCGCTGTGCCCGAGAATCTTGTGGGAGCTATTCTGGGGAAAGGAGGGAAAACGCTGGTGGAGTACCAGGAGCTGACAGGAGCCCGTATCCAGATCTCCAAAAAGGGAGAGTTCATTCCAGGGACTCGGAACCGTAAAGTTACAATAACAGGGTCGCCGGCCGCCACACAAGCAGCGCAGTATCTGATCAGCCAGCGGATCACGTACGAGCAGGGCGTGCGCGCCACCAACCCACAGAAGGTGGGCTAAAACCAAGCGAAGGGAACAGAAGAAAAGGATGAGGACAGAAAAAGAAAGGAAAGAAGAGAGTCAAGAAGAGTAGAGAAAAAAAAAAAAGAAATGTCCAAATATATGTTCAATATTTCAGTATATGATGAAAGAGTTACAAAGGAGGAGGCGGGGGAGACAACCAAGATAAGTGTGTGTGATTTGTGAGTGTGTTTTTAGGACAGAAGTCCTGATGTTTTTTAAAAGTTTGTGTCAAGTCCTTTTGACAATGGTGATCAGAGTAAGCTGAACTGGTCCACTGCCAAGTCGCAGATTCAGGCGCGAGGCCGCGGGGTCTCGCCCTTCTCTAAACCTCATTACTGTCTCATTTCTTTCTTTGGAGTGATTGTTTTTGTTGGATTTCAGACGGTCTGAGACGTCGGCTCCCGGTGAGCTGAGCGTGTCGGACGAAGATCCGGCTGTTTTACAAAACCTTGCTCTTTGCTGTCAATGCAGAAGGCATTGTTAACAGGGGGAGGGGTTTAACAACAAGCACCTGAACTCATCTCAGCTATTTAGGGCAGCAGTCCAAGTATAGTTTCTTTACAAATAAACAAAATCACATCTATGTGGACATGTCTTGAATTCTAGCTCATTTCATAACTGAAATGACTCAATTTGGGTATTTTATATTTGCATCCTTTAACTTATCGACATAGTCTCATCCAAACACGCGTCGATTATTTAAACCTGTGGTTGCAGGTTGATCTGAATGTAAAAACAATTTGCGCCTGTTGCTATTTTTTTTTTACAGGGATCAAACATTGTGTTGCAGTGAAAGAAATGTATAAGTCACCCCAGCCTGTACTTGCTGTCTGCAGGTGTAGTTCAAGGGTTCAAGACTCAGTGTGAGAGGACAGAAGAGACACACAGGAATGTATAAAAAACACAAACAGGCATAGAGAATGCTCCCACAAACGCACAAACTCTCCGACGTGACATTATATTCCGCCACTGCTACGAACACAAAGAAACGTGTTGATGATTAACCCTTTCTTGGTGCTATAGGACTTCTATCTCCTTTACGGTGGAATTCAAAACTTTCCACTTGAGTTTCCACCTGGTTTAAAGTGTCGTCCAGCCATTGGTAGCCCACTGGACCCGACCCAGCTTCATATCCAACGACTGTCAAATGATTTCTATCAACAAAAGCAGTCTAGCTGTTCTAATACAAACCTGTTGTTTTGTAATACTAGCTGAACATTTTGCAGAAGAAAACTCCTGACATACGTTTGCCTTAGCCAGACATTTGGAACACCAAGAATCAAGCAAAGGGTCAGACCTCCTGAGAGCAGTGGCAGAAAACAAAGCACTACAAAGCATTTTGATAAGAAGAGCTGGAAGAACCTTTATCTGTGAACAACGAAGCGATTTCCATGCAGTTACCAAATAGTGGAGCCACCTGCCTGTGGGCAATGCTTCCTGATTTCCATCAAGACAAAAAGAAACACAGGGAATTAAAATGAATATTATTGTTCCCAAAGTACATAAACGCTGACGTAGAGCATATATTGAAACCTACGATGTTTTGGGATCGTTATCTTTCAGTGCTACTAGCTAGTCTGACAGTGGCAGGCCCAAAAGTAAGAAGCTCTGCTCCCCTCTGTGCTGCTATCCATAGCGTTCATCACGACTCTTTAAAGTCTGCACTGTGAGGCATTTAGACCACCATGTCTGTCCTGCTAGGGACGTCAATACATACATACATTTATATATATATATATATATATATATATAAATGTATATATATATATATATATACATACACACACACACATTTATGTCACCAGATCTGCAGAGCCGGCCCAAAACTCCAAACTATTAACTTCTTCAGACTTTACTGAGCTAACATATGTCCAATATATTACATGTTGGACAATTTTAGTCCACAGTTTCCATCCAAATGTAGTCGAAGCTATGACGTAACTTTTATATACATTTATTTTCGCCTTTTTATTGTCAACCACTATGTCTTGTTTTCACAGGCCAGTTGAACGCTTGTTTTCTTGATGAGTTAAATAAGATGCTATAAGTTAAGTTAAAATTCAGCAGGGGGCAAAACATTAAATATGTCTGAATCTTGATAAATAATTAGTCTTTTTTTAAATTATTAACATTTTTAATAGGAATTTCAATTTAATTAAACATTTAAAGTATTTCAATTCTGACAGATTAATTCATTGATACTCTTCATTTGGAGGAAAAGGTTCTTGGTTTGATGCAGACAGCAATGGTGGATCATGGTAATTAAAGCTAATTACAGGCTTTTTCAATAAATTCCTTTTTTTAACACTTAGTAATGTTTGAAATCATATGAAATTATTTTAACTTCAAATAAATCTTGATTGGTGATGGCCTCTGAACTGATTTGATCATAAACGGTCCTGTGAAGCATAGACTTGGTGGTGTGATGCTGCGGTAACTCGTCAACTCTTTGTTTCAGTTTGGACAAAATCTTTTTTCCCCCAAAGCCTCTATTTTGTCATTTCTGCCCAATGAACAAATCCTCCACCACTTTTCAACAATCGTTCAATGCATTCTTACCACTGGATGTAGAGGTGAGTCGCATTACCGCCACCTACTGGCCTGGAGGGCGTGAATGAATTTTTACAGGTTCACTAAAAATATAGATCCTAGAAATGTGCAAGAAAATGAATAATATTAATAATATAAATCCATTTTTATTCTGTAAATAAAGTCGTAGTTCACAACTATAACTGATCGATGCTAGTTTTAATTTTTTGTTTCTCCTGCTTGTGTCTCTGCTGCTGCCGAGCAAATAAATTATTCTAATTTAGGATGTAAAGGTTAAGTAAAAACTGTGATTAGGAGGGAATTTAGTTAAATAATTAATCATAATAACTGGAATGGGCCCCCATTGTGGTTTGGTTAGGGCCACATAGAGTCCTGGGCCGGCTCTGCCTCCTGGTACCAACAGAGGGGATTTCTCCACATGTGTCTCTTTTACTCCAGCACCTTTTGATCTTTGCTTTTATTAATTAGTGAGCGTTTTCCGTCCCTCCCTGCGGCGTCCTCTCCTGTCCATCATGTTGCTCTCTGACGTTTCCAGTAGGCACCATCAACACAAGCTCTATGATCAGTTTCCTCAATGCGAAGCTGTGAGGGCCGGTGCTGAGTCGTGTCCAGGAAATCTACATGCTTCCAGTTGTAAGAGAAGCTGATCGATTGACTTTGTTTTCTTTTAGAATTCATGCATTAAAGTCGTCAGATTTCAAAGTATTTGAAACAACTCTGTGTGTCGATGTTGTGCGTGGCGAAACGAGCAGCGAGGCTTTCTTCCCAGCTCAAATCTCTTCCTCTCACTAGCGCTTGGAGGCCTTGCAGTCATCCATAGCTACAATCTGGCCACCTGTGAAATCATTGCATAACAGAACCTTTTACTGCCCAAGATTTTAGCATATAATGAGATACAAGCACAAAACGGGGGTGTTTTATCAATGCAACTGGACTGTTGGACTCCAGAGAGCTCTCCTTCAGAACTCCCTGATCAATACGTTGCGCCAAAATCTGCTTTCTCTCCCTCTCATTAGATTTCCTCTCCACATTTTCTTCCCCGGAGTGTCCTGCGTCCCCCGGCCCCTCGCCGGGCGCTCCTTCCTTCCTACACTGTGCTCTCCCCCTCTTTCTCCTCCCCTCGTGTCTTGTCGTCTCATGGGCGATGCGTTGGACGCACTGTGGGTGGGAGTTATGCACTACGGGTCGTAGGGGTATGAAAATGTTTTCCCAGGCCACAGAGTTCACAAGGCTAAAATGCACAGAAACCACCTGCCTCCAAAACTGTGACACCCACCGAGACCAACCAGCAACGTTAGCTCAACGTGTCAAATGTCCTCAGCTTGAGGAACTGGACAGATTCGGACAGGCCTGGCATTTTCAAAGGAAGGTAATCTGGGTTGTTTTTTTTTCTTCTTTTTTTTCCAAAAAAAAAAAGGCAAATCCTGGTAGGAGGAATATTAATTAGATGGCCGAGCTCTAGACTGAATATTTCAGACAGAATGCATAAGACAGCAAGAGAGAGCGACTTGTTAGTGACCTCAAGCCGAAACAGTGACATCCTTTATGCATATCCTGCTATCTGAAAATGACTCGAGCTCATTTCTGTGGAATACGATATGTCACGTCATATGATCTATATGTACTTTATTGTAGCTATTCTAGTTTGTAGTCCAAATGCAGTCCAGCGTTGTCAATACAATGTGAAACTATGTTATATCTGTGTGGATGATGAGAGTGCCGACTAAGCCTGACTAAGATTAGCTTCGCAGTTTGTTTGTGCATTATGACGCCTCATCATCGGGCGGTGGTGTCCATATTCCTGTCACTGAAGATTTAGTTTGACAGTAAGAAAAATGTTAAGAATATTGGAAGCAATATAGTAGCATGTTGTCCTGTTTTGTGTTTTATGTCTGTTGTATGGACTTTTGAAAATACTAAGATTTTGAATGAATAGGTTTACATGTACTTCTTTTTGTAAGTTATGAAAATGCTGCTATTTGATAAGTAAACTATACAAAAATATTTTAGTGGAAAAGATGTCTGGTCTGTTGATTAGAGATGTGCTCCGACAGGGAGGAGCATAAACGGAGGTGTATAGGAAGCTATACGGTATTGGTAAGATAGAAAAGTAATAATAGACTCCATAGTATGACCTGTGCCAAACTAGACCTCTGCAGCTTCTGAAATTGTAGATGTGCGATCAAATGTTAGATATCAATAACATGTTTAGAAGTGCTGATCAAGTGCCAATCAAACACTATCTTTTGAGTTAAGAAAAGATAATCAAATACATTACTTAAGAAAACAAAGGACAAAGAATTTTTTTGTGCATCGTTTTATCCCATAGGTACATAGAATAAGAGTTAAAGATTGTGATTTTTTATGGATCCATGTTGTTTTACCCTCCATGCATCCTTGTGTGTTTGTTTGACCTGTGGCTTTAGTACCGCTGTTTTCCACTAATGTCTCTATAGGCCAGCATGGACTAAGCATAAACATGTTATAAGCATCCATAACATAGCCATTAACAATCAAACAATGTGTTTGTGGAGTTCGGTGTTATCTTTTTGCACGTCTTCTATTGCATGGTATCAAAGTAAAATTATGGAGGAAAAAAAAAAGAAAAAAACAGAAAAAAAGTCAAAAAACGTGCGAGGGGTCTTCTCGCAACATTCAGAGACATAAGCGCTGCATGCGGTCAGATGTATATCTCTTTAAGTTGAACTCACCTCATGTTAAAACTGTTGATCTTTACGTTGGGAGTTGGGAGGGAGCTCATTATCGTCATGTTGGCCCGAAAAGAACAAAAAAAAAACATGAACACACATCTGAGATGGGATTTCTCATGGGTCGGACTCATCTCTAACCATCATCTGAGAAGATCTGATGTGTTTTTTAGATCTAGAGGAGGATTCAAATGTGAAACAAGCAAACCTGAAAATGTTACTCAGTGCATTGGCTCTTTGTGTTTCTAGGATCTCAGTCAGATACTTTAACCGCGTTTTTCTGTCACAGCCGTAAAGCCCAGATCTACTCTATGAATGTACTCATTTCTTCTGTTCTTCGGTTCTGTTCCGGTTCTGTTGAATGTCTGTCTGTCTGTCACGTGACGCCACGGCAGGAATGTCCACTACATGTAAAGTGAAAACCTTTTTTTCCAGCTCCAGTCAGGTAGGCCCCACACGGCCGCAGTTATGAACCAGATATGCGAACACAACTTCCGATTTGCTGTCAACATTTTCCTGTTTGTTTGATGTTGCATAAATGCACTTTATTGATGGGCGGGAGGGAAACGAAGCAAACCGTGTTGGCTTTCCACAACCATGTTGCTGTCATCCTTTGTTCTGATTTGATTTGCTAGTCTGTGTCGGAAGTCCAGGAGGATGGGAAAGGCTGGAATCTCAGACAAATAGAAAAGTAGCTCCTGTTTTCTCTCTCCAAGGCTCCTCTGCCACATTCCCTGCAGGGCGGCACAACCAATCATCTCCTTCCTTTAGATTCTCAAATTCCAAATTTATTTTTTCTTGTGTTGCCAGAAAATTTGGGCTTTAGCCGTGAAGTGAGCGGCGATGTTACTGTCAGATCTAAGAGGGTTTTTTTTTCTTTTTTTGGCACCAGCAACATAAAGAGAGACTCTGGTAGCTGGGACTGGTGGAGCCTTGCTGGTTCCAGTTATTTTTCTGTTTCCCTGTTCTGTGTTTCACACCCAGACCAGTTGGCAGCATCATTCCAAAGGTGATTGTGTTTTTGATTTTCTGGTCAGTCATGATCCGCTCCCTGCGGAGCCCCTACAGGAAGGCCAAGACTGGTTTGGAACCGGTTCCGGCCGCTCACTCCTCTCTTTGAACCAGTTCTACCTGAGTCTCTGCATCGCTCCACGACTTGTGATTCATTACACCGAGAACCTGCAACTGTGTCCGCCCCTTTAAACGGGAAATCTAATAGGATTCTTAACAAACCAGACATGAGGCCATTACTGCTCTTTGACCATCGACACCTCCCATGAACTTTGTTGCTCTTCGACATCCTCAGAACTGGTGTCCGTTGGAGATGAAACTCTTAGACTCTGAAGACTGTTCTGTTGTTTGTTTTTCTTTGATTTAAAGCTTGCTTATGTGGAAAACGTGAGGAAGCACGTCTGTACCGTGATACGGTTTCATGTTCTTTACATTCTGGGTTATGCTTTGATGCTGTTTAATCTCTGTTCGTTCCATCTCAGACAAAATGGACTGACAGCATAAGATCAAATGTTTCCGGCTTGAGCAAAGTGATGTTTTGTTCATTGGGTCTGTTTCTCTTTGTTACAAACGAGAACAGTCGTCTTTTTTGTTGTTTCGACAAACGAGGAGAATCTGTGAAAGTCGGCAGCGTAAACTACCTAAAGGGCTTTCTCCGAGAGCATTTATACAAGTCCTTTGAACGTGGTTCAGAAATGAAACAAAACAAAAATGCCTTTCTTGTGCCATTTTAGGAGAAAAAAGTGAGAAAGCTTTTGTGGAAAATCTCTGTCCATAATTGTGCCAAATAATTCCCTACTGAGCCAAAAGGCAGCCAGCCGCCATAACTGTTGGGTCCGTCCCCCTATAAGAAAACATCACCCTATTTGTGCAGCGTTGGAGCCCACGTACCATTACTGTTATGCTGCCAGTCTGTTTTCTGCTTCGGTCAGAAACATCAGGATATTTTGTATTAAAAGACAACAGCTACTATGGTGAAGGATGAGAGGATTCGAATGCTCATTGTTTCTGTTTGTTTATTTCCGCATCCTTCATTCTAGATTTAACGGTAATGATATTTAATGTAACTGTAGTACTGTGTTTGTAAAAAAAGAAATTCAGTGAGTTGTGTTCTATGACTCGTGGACTACCAGTGAAGTCAGCATTTCAGTGTTAATAATTGAATTGTTTTTTAAAGATTATTTTTGCGACGGCAACAAAGAGTCATTATAAATGTTCATTTTAACATCACTTGTCTTCTGTTTCATTTATTCTCCTCCACCCGGGCTTGGCCTGACACGGAAGGTCAAAGGTTAAGGAGACCTTTGACACCTGATAACAACATAAACATTTTCAGGGTTCCTGTTATTTGACAGAATTTATTGGGGTTATGATGAGACAAATAAACATAGAACCAGGGGGGGGATTAAGCAATACTAGGGGGTTGCCTAGGGCCCCAAGTTCCTGGGGGCCCCATAAAACATGTACATGTATGGTTGATACAACTATTCCTTATTTGTGCACATTAATTATGTTTCTGATAAAAATCCTTTGGCTAAAATGTCATCAGAACGCTTATAATATCAAGTGTTTCTCAGCCCCCCCCCCTTCAGTGTCCACCATATTGGATCAGTCCATTTGCTGCACATGTTCAGAAAGGTCCAAACAGACAGCAGCAAACCATTTGAAAACAAACCATGCAAAGAGCAGTGTTGCTAACTTAGCGCTTTAGTCGCTATATTTAGCCACTTTTCAGACCCCTCTAGCACTTTGATTTCTAAAAAGCTCCTAGCGCCAAATCTAGAGACTTTTTTCTGCAACTGGAGACTTTGGAGACAACATCTAAAAGCAGCGAACTCTGCTCTCCAGAGCGAGTAGATTGGTAACCCCGCCTCCTGCTCTCCTCTATCTTGTCTGCTGTCATGATTCATGCAGCTATTATTTCATCCAAATGAAAAATGGAGAACAGAGAAGCAGATCATGGCTTGTCTACAGTGAAAAGAAGGACTGGGTTATTTACTTTGGCCTTTTTGGAAACACAGGAAGGAGCAATCAGCTAAGTGAGCTTAGTGCTTGGAAAAAATCTTTCATTCCTTTAGAGACAGCATGAAAAGTCAGCTGAGTACAAAACATAGAGAGGAAAACAAGAAGAAAAGGGACAAGAAGAGAGGGACACAACCTAGAACAGATAATGGATGTCTATTCTATTAACATTTCTCTATCTGTAGAATGGGTCTGTTCTATGTGTTGTCTTCTCCATTCAGAGGCCCCCTGCCTGTCTTTGTCTAGGGCCCCACATTTCCTAAATCAGCCCCTGCATAAAGGCGTAAACAACCAGGAAAACAAGCGTGGATTGAAATCCAAAAACCTGAACTCTGCTGCTGGAAACAATAAAACTGCTGAAGCTAAATCCAATTAGATGGGGAGACTTTAAGTTAATCAAGAAATGAATATGGGTCCAAACTTTGACTAGGCCATTCTAGTTCATGACTATATGTTGCTCTAATTGCAGCTCTGTATGTTCAGGGTCTGCATCCTTCCCCCTATTTAACTCCATCCATCCTCCCTTCACTTCTGACATACCTGTTCCTACTAAAGGAATGTATCCCGCAGCATGATGTTACCCCCACCATGTTTCACTGTTGGGCTTTTAGTTGGTTGGAATAAACAAACATAGTTTTCTTTCAGCAATAAGTTTCTTCCTTAAACTTCTCCAGGTTGCGTTTCCTCCCTCCATGTCCTGAGGACGGAGTGAACAGAGCTGTGTGGGATGGTCAGAGATCAGGAGATTATTCTCCAATCAAACCCTGATTTAGAACCATCTGCTGGGTTTGTCCGACTGACCTGATGAGACGTTAGATTGCAATAGAATCCATCAATTTTTGTCATTCATGAATAATCTCCATTTAAACGCTCTTTAGAAGAACTTATTTATTGGTTCCATTATCGCCATCTTGAGGTAAACAGCACGGGATCTCACCAACATGGTCTCATGCAAACTTATAGGGCAATGAACCTGTCCTGTTAGATGTCACCAGGGCGAAGTGTTGGTACCAGTGAACCTACCACCTGTCCTCTGGGTTTGATCTAAATTCCTCTCTGCTTTGACTGTTCTGTTAGATCTTTAGATCCCGTACTGCCAACTGCAGATTAAATGTAATTCACTGCCTGATTATTTCATTGGAACCTTTCTGTTTATTCAAATAGTGCTTTTATTGAGTGAAGCTTCCTTCCCTCTCCAGCAAAAAAAAAAAATAAAAAATTATTCTCTGACTATCCCACTGTATCCAGTAAACGGGGCCCTGTTCTTTTTTTAACCTTGCAGCATCAACAGTCTCTGGATCACTGAGGTCTCGAAACCTACAGGTCACATCATATTCAATTCAATTCAGTTTATTTATAAAGCGCCAATTCACAACACGCGTCATCTCAAGGCCCTTTACAGTTCAACCAGATCATCCAGTCAGATTGATTCAAAACCAGTTGATTGCATCGACTCATTGACTCTTCAGCAATCCCTCACACTAAGCATGCTTGTAGCGACAGTGGAGAGGAAAAACTCCCTTTAAACAGGAAGAAACCTCCAGCAGAACCAGGCTCAGTGTGAGCGGCCATCTGCTGAGGTCGACTGGGGTTCAAGGAGACAGAAGCATAAATATTAAAAGCAGCTGTAAAAGGCGGCTCCGTCCAGGAAAAATACAGCCAGGCAGACGAGCTCCGAGCCAGCTCCCATATCAGAGGATGAAGAGAGCACATCCAATTAGTCACGGTCAGAGAAACAGGACTACACTGGAAAACAGGCTGATCTCCAACATCTATAAACAAAGGTGTTGATGGCAGCAGCACAGCTAATATTTCTCTCCAGGATGGAGTCACAGCCAAACAGGAACAGACCAGATGAAGCTACTATAGGGTGACCAAACGTCCGTGTTTCCCGGGACATATCCGTATTTCACGTCCTGTCCCGGGCGTCCCGGTTTTTTTTTAGAAAGTGAGGAAATGTCCTGATTTCACTGCGCACAACACTCCGTGTGACGTAATCCCTGAGTCGCGTCAGTGCGGGCAGCCCTGTTCTTAATCAGAGGCTCTGTACGAAAACCTAGGACGCATCCTCCAAGGACACGGTCTACCTAGACTGGATCCTTCCAAGTCCTTGAAAATAAGGAGGCCGGAAGAGTTTTGTCTGTAAATTCGAACAGGTCCTCCCTTCAGCGGGTTTTACCGCCGTATGCTCTGTTGCTTAGCAACCGTGAAAGTTGACACACAAAGCAGGAAAAGAATGAATACCGAGGTTTTCAAAACTGTTTGTTTATTTATTTATTTTTTAAAAAGTTAAAGTGAACAAAGACTACACTCACAAGAATCCTGAGTGGAATAAAGGTTCCAACCACCGGTAGCAGGAACAAATCAAATCAAATGTAATGATAGAAACCTTAGTCAGTTAAATAACCTGCTGCTGTCATTCTGCACATCTCTGATGTTGCTGCTATTTTCAAATTACTGTAAAAATGTCCATAGCTGCATATTGGTTATTTATTCTACAGTTTTATATTGTTAAAACACTTTACAGAATTTTATTTTTTATATTTTAACTCTTCCCTATTATGTTATTCTTATACATTTTTCTAAGGTCCTCATTTGTGTGACCATTTTCAATAATCTTTCTGCTGCTGTAAATTTGCCCATTGTGGGACAGTAAAGGGATTTTCTATTCTATTCTATAAAAGGGGTAGAGAGATATAAGTAAATCTAAACAATGTATCTACAAAATGGATCTGCAAAATCTCTAATATTCAACAACAAAAAATACTTAGTTAAGCATATTGTGCAAAACAACAATAAAAAAATGAAACTCCTATCAGATTTATAGTTCCCACTCTGCAGATTTATTAGAATCTGTCCTTAAATTACAGCCAAACCCATTTACACAGTAACAGATAAAAACCTTTAGATAAATCAAACATTACCGCCACATATCTGACTCTATAACCATTAAAACAACTAGTAACAAGTAACACATTTCCTCTCATCACGGAGCAAATCCCGATGATGAGACATTTGTTCTTTCAATCAAACCCCCCCGCCCCCCCACCTAACCCCCCACCCACCCCCACCCCCGGCGCTCCAAGGTGTCCTGGTTTTCCCAAATGAAAATATGGTCACCCTAGCTACTATGAGAAAAAGCAGAGAGAGCAGAACGTTAGAGATTGAACTAACAGATTCTGCAGAATAGGAGAATAGAGATAGAATGATGAAATGGGGTCCCTATGTCGTCCAGCAGTCTTAGCCTATAGCAGCATAACTATAGAGATAGCTCAGGATAACCTGAGCCACTCTAACTAGAAGCTTTATCAACAAGGAAAGTTTGAAGCCTAGCCTTAAAAGTAGACAGGGTGTCTGCATCACAGGCCAAAACAGACATATACAGTGATGAAAATAAGCATTTGAACACCCTGCTATTTTGCGAGTTCTCCCACTTCATGGAGGGGTGAGGAACAGAGCGCACCACTATAAAAACAGAAGAAGAAGTGGAAGTTATCGGTCGCAGCTGATGGGGAGCTGTCCTGTGCTTTGGTAAGTGTTTTAACTGATTGACTTTATTTGGATTGAACTGATCCTTGTGATAAATGTTTGGTTTGTGACCAGGTTTACTGAAAACAATGGGCTTCCAAATGTTTTGTTTTACTAAAGATGAGGACCCAAAATGTAACATAAACCAAGTGGAAAAACAAAGACTTAGACAAGACCTCTGCGTGAAGTTAGAAACATTAAAAGAGACTCAAAAATGTAAAAGAATGATTGAAAACTCCTTGTAAGACGCTAATCTGGTAAGTTAGTTCTAAGTTAGTTCTCCAGGGATAAACAAGGGTTCCTCTAAAGATGTTTGGTGATCATTAGTTTATGTTTTCAGATAACTACTTTTTATAAGTTAAGTTATTAGATGTTGTAGAGCTGATTAATGGTTTTGATTTGTGACCATGCACTTCTAGGCTTAGGATTACTTTTCTGCTACTCAGTTTAGATATGAACGTTCTACACACACACACACACACACGCACACACACACCTACACACACACAATCACTTGCAGTCATGTAGAGGGCATTTCCAAGTATGTTCTTTTTTAAACATGTTTAACACCTTTCCATCTCACATTAGCACAACCCATTCTCTTGTCCCTAACAGGCTCTATGCAGAGCTCCACCATCTCTTCAACTTCAGCCAGCTCCTTTGTTTCCTGTCTTTTTTCA